CAGGAATAATTCCTAGCTGGAATTCTTCCGGCATTACAACAGTTTAATGTCGATCCATTGCATTTATAAGGGATATGTGAATCACTGCAACTGCGTCATCCCTCTAAAATTAACTATTCGCGTGCATTAGCAAGAAGGGAAATTCAAACACTTATATTACCTTCTATTGCTGTGAGCGACTAAACATTACATGATACCTGAGTATTCAAGGTCTTAGGACATTTTGTTTTAAAAATCTGTTTTTGTTGACAAATAACCAATTCAAGTATTTATGTCGGCGCAACATAAATAGACAGAAGCCTGAGCTAGTATTAAAGAATGTATGTGAGCGAAGCAGGCATCAGTGATATCTCACTGCCAAATTGAAGCTTTTGGCGTAACTCAAAGAATAGAATTTCGATCAATCCACTTCTCTTGACTTGACAGACACCAAACGAATGTTACCATCCCAGCACCACACAAGATAGCGAGTGTTAAGGGTGTTTATCGACACTGATACTAGCGACCCTGATGGTGAATGTTAGTAGTTGGTGCCTTTCTTATGAAGGAAGGCGTAAAAAGGACTGTGGAATATGAAGTCACAGGACTATTCCCATAAAACATGATTTCGAGGCGACAATTCACGATCTGTTGGAATTCTATAGGAAAGACATTTAGCAAGAATGGCGAACCCAATTGATCTAGGTACCCATAAAACTTTCACTGCAACGATGACGGGAAAGTTAAACGATGCACGAATTTTAAGGAAGTCTATGGCAAAAATAGCCGAAATATTCGCTGTGCATTGAAACCCAAACACACCACCTCAGTCAGGAATCAAGGCAACATCAATGCACGAGAAGTAGCAGAGTATTAGTCTTGACTCGCGTGATTAATTTAGAAAAGTCGAGTCGCATCACCTATCTGCCATACCAAGCTATTATTACTATTATAGCTCCGAAGTACCTGGTTTGACTTAAACCTTATTCGGGGGTCCCATGGAAGGCTGGCTCTGGTCCAGTTAAATCAGAAGCCCTGAATATTTTCTAAATACGTTTTCTGTATTTTATTATATACGTCAAAGGTAAGTTTGATCGCGACCTGACAAACTGTAAATTTCATTGCGATCGTTATATACCACTCAATGTGTCCTCAATCTAGAAAAAGGTCTCACAACATCGCAATAAATCAATGTTGAACTTCTTGCAACTCTTGCATTATACGAAGTGCCAGCTCATCAGCCCAGGGCTTAGCAACCACCTGAACTGCTAGCGGAAGGCCTTCTGCAGTTTTTTGATGTGCCTGCAATAAAGCATTAAGGGACTTGGGAGCAGCGTTCACCTCGGCTGCTAGCTCTACGTCCTCCTGAGTGACTTTACTAAAAGGAACTACACCAGCTGGGCAGTTTACGATGTTAAAGATGGTTGCATAGCCAGCTTGTAAAAGGGCCAAACTTGACGGCGCACCTTTTAACAAAGCAGGAGCTGGAGCTGCTGGTCCGATAAGGAGATCAATTTCCTCGTCTGACCAGAAATCGGAGAATTTACGACGATAAGCCTCCAGACCCTTGTGAATGCATTCTGCGGAAAGTGGTTTCTTCCATGCCTTCAATAGCTGTTTCATATCCTTGCATTTGGCTTTCTGCTGACATTGAATGACAAGACCTAGTAATCCCCGTAAGGAAAGTGGAATTTTCGGAAGACAACATTTGATGATTTCATTCCAAGTTAAACTGCTTCCATAATGCTGACCGACGTGAATATCCCAGTGGGAACCGCAGGATAAGATGACTTGAAGGGCTAAAAAAAAGGCCTCTTCAGGGTCTGGAAGTTCCACTTCAATAATATTGTAACCCTTAGCCTTAAGCGCTGCTGTAGCTTCGGCCATAACCCTTCGTACAGCTGGAACAACTTGAAATATACTGGAATAATTTTTATAGACTCCAATGGTCAGACTTTCTTTCGAGGTATCTGTTTTGAAAGGCACAGGAGGAGTAGAGAGATCAGTGTGGGCTAAGGCAAGCGATTCCATTGCATCACTGATGTCCGGAACACACGAACCAACAATCCCTACAGTTGGAGGTAAAAATTCATGAAAATTAACTGCACTCACAATTCCACCAGTGCTTAAGCGTTGAGCTGTAGGTTTAAAACCTACCACACCAACATTTGCAGCGGCTAACCGCACATCACCCAAAACATCCAAGCCAAAACCAAGGAAGGCCCCTTTCTGTTCCACAATGACAGCAATGGAAGTGGAACCAACAACACGGTTGGGATGAGTGGGATGAGGAACCGTTCCATAGAGTCTACTTGAGGCGTCAATTTCACCAGGAAGAAGACCAGTGCTTGCAAGAGCAACTGGATTCGCACCGACTTTGCGGAGGTCTTGAACTAGACAACAGTCATTGCTTTGACTATGGCCAGCCATAAATACCGCGGAGGCATTGCAATCTTCGCCCTTAACCGGGAAGCAGTTGGAGAGACATACAGGAATACCATGTAGAGCACTGAGGGGTTTCCGACCTTGTTTGAGTACATGATCGGTTACAATGGCGGTAACATCGGCATCAAAAACCACTTCCGCGATGCAACTAAATGGCGAGTGCATCAGACGGAGAAGATGGACTTGAAGAGCTTCCAAATATTCAAGAGAACTGAGGTCCTTCAAGACTGTGATGCGATGTCGAAGCTGTGCCATCGTGAGAGAAGTGACCTCGTCTACCCTCTCTAGCGGGGTTTTAAGGCCAAAAAGCTTTGCAGAAATGCTGTTAATCGCACTCTGACGTTGAGAATTTTTCTTAGACAGGCGGTTTAAAGCTTTGTGAAGGCTGAACAGACAGGTACTTATACGAACACAGAGCCACAATGAGCAAATAACTCCATCCGGATAGAATTCTTCGATATAGTTTTGGGTACAGACTGCAGGTTCAAAGATGATTGTGGATATAAAAGTAGGAACTCTCAGCTTGACAAGTAGATAAAGACAGCTTAAAGCATCCAAAGCGGTGCGGAGTAAGCTTAAGCAGAAATTCATTTCGGCCCTCTAAACGAAGAAAATGAATGAAATACATTAACTAAAACCAAATAATACGAAACTTTTCTATCGAATAGTAATGCATTTTCACAAAACCTGTAAGAATGCTAGGCAAAACTTGAACAATTACTAGGTGCAAAAGTGGGATATTATTTCACATATCAAAACAGAAAATGAAAGCATGCTATGGCTTAACACCACTATAAAAGCACTAACGACAAAGTGACGCGGACTCAAAGAGTAGGCAGCGTTTAGCGAAAATCGCCAGTCTGATGAAAAACTGGTACATCCATTATAATGTCTTTTTCCATGAGAAAAAGAGTGAGTAACAAAGACTTCATCGAAAGAGCTATGTGACAAATATGAATATTAAATGACTCCATTTTGTAAAGTATAAGCCTCCTAAACGACGTCGAACCAATCTTACGAAGGCAATGCCCTGCGTCAAGCAGGTAGTTAGTTTAATTACATGAGATCTTGCATCCTCCATGTTTCAAGCATTGAGTGAACGCATTACATCAGACGAAGCTGCACAAGTTGATGAAAGCTGGAACCATGTGAAGAAGGGTCCAAGAAATAGTACGTAAAGAATAAATTCTCAAGCATGCAACGCGTGGCAATGGGGGCAAAATGCATAAGTGAGATATGAGATGGATGCGTAAGTCCCTAGAGTTGGAAATCTGTTATTATAATGGAATTTTTGAACAGTGAGACCGAATTTTAAGTCACAATTGCCACAAACAAGAAGTAAAACCCTACTCTGATTTAACATATGTAAAAGGTGACACAAAGAAATAAGAACTTACGAAATCAAAACAAAAAGGTGCGCTACACACTACAGACCGATAATTATGGAGAAAACTGAATCTTACCAATGGGGAACAATAAGGGGTGATAAGTTCACTTCAAAGCAAAGTCCCACAAACCGCGACTCCCCCTCTCGACACCCAAAATATTGCACCACTGCAGGTTTCGCTTCGATGAGCTTAAACAACCTTAAGGTTGAATTAATATTTCTAGTTATACTTAATATACTTATGCCTTTAACATAATTTGCAATTTGAATAGATATCGTTGAAAAATGAGTTATTAATTTCACATTATCCTGCAGTCATTTGGTATCCGAGACTTTCAACTCAATATAACGGCATTAAGTTAAGCTGAACGCACGTATTCTAGGAGGCTAAGAAGAGGCTGGCCTTTGGTTTTGTAGGAACTGCCTGCCTATTCTCCTGCCCATGAACCACGGACTTCAAGGGAGGGTTGGTTGCAGACCATTTATTCGGCATTGGATATAGAAAGAATGGGGAATAAAATGCGGATGGGTCGAATAGGAGATATCAACTGGAGAGAGCCTTCTCACTGTCCTCGTGCACGTGATTCGCGTGCCCTATTGGCTCCCGCCTCTCTCCTATAAAAAGTACACTCAAACAGTCTAGTACGTATTACAGGCTTGGCCAGAAGGTCAGCGCGCGCGTACAAAAGCAAGATGAGTTCCAAAATGACCACCTGGCATCGTGTGGTCACATAAGCAACTCATTGCAAACTTGCTCACGATAAGAATAACGAATATACAAACCCTACCACATAATCATAGCATAAAACAGATGCTCAGCAGGATGGTACATCTTAGGTTTCGGATGCAAGCAACATTTCTCCACCCATTTTAACTTCTATCTCGCCT